TGGACATTCTTAACCTACATAAACCACTTACTAACACCTACCCTTCACCCAAAAAACATGAATATCTGTTTCAGAAAGAGGAAACCTAAACGCATAGAATCTAGCCATGAATGGAATATTACCAGAAAATAGGTGTATTCTAACCTTTGTTTGCAGTGGAAAAGGTACACACAGTAAATAAAGGGCGTTTAGCCAAACACTTTGTTTGCAGGTTACAACCCAGCGAACTCCAAGAAATGTCATTTTCCGAACACCCCTATGAATGGGAAGTTTTATGCATGTGAGATGTATCACTCGTATTTTAAACTTGGTTATGGAAGATGGGTTGAAAAATTAGATACGTGTCTGGTGACTCATAGAAATGTTGTGATTTTTGAAAGATGGGAAAAGGTGCAAATGGGCTCATGTACTAACCAAAAAAGGTCAAATGAGCCCTTATTTAGGAGGCTTTGTCCGGACGTCGTCATTTGGGGTGGTTCCCGGAGGAAGTTTTTGATGAAATTTTTTGAGCATATTATTAATTAAGTCTAGTTTACTCATACCAAATTTCAGCTAAAACTTCAATCGGGAAGGCATTAAAATGAATTCTTGAAAATAACTGCGCAGTTAGAAGCGCAGTTATCTTCAAGAATTCATTTTAATGCCTTCCCGATTGAAGTTTTAGCTGAAATTTGGTATGAGTAAACTAGACTTAATGAATAAGATGCTCAAAAAATTTCATCAAAAAATTCCACCGGGAACCACTCCAAATGGCGACGGCCGGACAGAGCCTCCTAAATAAGGGTTTATTTGACCTTTTTTTATTAGTACATGGGCCTATTTGCACCTTTTCCCTTGAAAGATGTTGGGTTAATGGCCCAAGCCGAGGTCCGGCCCACTAAACCTTTCTTACCAGACGCACGTCCAGTTAGAACACAAGGCCAGCCCGCAGGCCCATGTTCCTTGAGGAGGGACGAACGTCTGGGGTTAGGAGTTCAGGCCCAACGGCTCATCAAGACGAACGTCTATGCAGGGACAAGGAGCAGGACCACGGGCCACCAGGGATGACGACGAACGTCCCCATGGCAAGCCTGTAGTCATCAGGGGAAACCCAGTCCACATGGTGAATATCCAAGGCCAGGAGACGAACAACCGGTATCTCTTGAGGGTCACTTGGAGAGATCCAACTCACTTCCCGGGCGGACGAACGTCGCCACTGATTAGCCACCTGCCCATTGGTGGGTATAAATAGAGGCATTTATTTCATTGTAAAGGGTTGGCAACCTTCTATTCTTAGTATTCTAGCTTTAGCATTCTTACTCGCAGCACTTCTAACTGCCTAGTAAGACGAACGGCCGACGTGCCTTTTTTAGCAAGTAGATTGTACTTAGGGGAGTTATTACGAAGTTAATAATACCTATTTACATTGCCTGCTATTTCCTCTGTTTCCTGATCCATCTAATAGTTGTTGGGCTAGATATTCATACACTCACTCCACTCGAAATCTTTGGGCTTACGTGTTGGGCTTGAAGGTTGAAGGAATAAACCTCAACACTGGCGCCGTCTGTGGGAGACTGAACAGAAAGTTTCCAGAAACTCTCCCAAACAGCTACTAAATCTACCTACAACAAACACGATGTCAGGAAGCAACAACCAGCGTGACCTCTCCGAGCGTCTGGAGTCAAGCCGCCGGAATCGCAGCCAGAACTCGGAGCTGTCCGCGACAATATGGACCTCCGGGGGAAACGGGGGTATCACTGACCTCATTCCCCTGGAGGCCAGGCAGGACCCCCGCCTCATGCGGGAACTCGCTGACACCATGCGTCGTTTGGCAGACGAACGGGAGGCTCAAGAGCAGGTGTACTCTGCAAGCACCCAGCGAACACCCCTCTCTCCCATCCGCCGTATGCAGTCGTACGATGATACGACAGGGTCCAGCGACCACCGGCCCTCGGTCCATGAGCGGCTAGGCGGAGGTTCAGGCTCCCGCGGAACGGGAGGGCGAACCAAGGTCAGCATCGCTGCACTCAGGGCGCACACGCCATCAATTCCCCGCCAAGTCTCGCGAGGGGACGAAACCCCAAGGATCAACACCGTTGGACGACGCTTCCAGCGACGAGGGGCGCAGATCCTCAGGCGACCGCACGGAGCTGTGGCTGCTCAGCAAAGCGCCGTCCTCGAAGCTGTGCCCCCTGTGTCCCCCGGAAGGGCCGCACAGGATGCAAGGCTGGAAGCAATGGAGCGGCAGATAGCCGAGATGAACAGACGGACGGACGTCGGCTCGGCCACGCCCTCTTTCTCTCTCACGTCACCCTTCACCCCCCGGGTGATGAGCGTCGAGATTCCCCGGGACTGCAGGCCCCCGGGCAACTTGGTGTACAATGGGGCCGGTGATCCCAAGGCCCATCTGATTAGCTACCAGGGGAATCTGTCCATGCTGGGGGCATCGGACGAGGCCATCTGCAGATTGTTCTTCAGCACCCTCAGAGGGCCGGCTCAGGAATGGTTCGGCCAGCTGAGGCCGGGCACCATCGACTCATATGAACAGCTTTCCCGGCAGTTCATGGCTCAATTTGTTGCCAGTACCACCCCCAGGAAGGACGTCACGGCTCTCGCCCACATCAAACAAGGGCGGGACGAACCGCTGGCTAGGTTCCTGGTGAGGTGGAGGGACGAGGTCCTGCAGGTCGACGACCTGGACGAACGTCTGGCCACGAACATGTTCACCAGTGCCCTAGCCACCGGAGATCTGTACCGGGACCTGAGGAGAAACCCCGACACCAGCTACACTGAGGTTCTGGCTCGGGCCCAGAAGTATGCCTCCATTGAGGAGGAGATCAGGCAGCGGGACGGAGTTCCCGCGGCCCACCCACGGAAGATGGCGGACAGGCTCGGGCCCAGACCGGGGCCCGGGCCCTCCCCCCCCCCCCCCCCCCCCCCGAACAAAAAGAACAAGGCGGACGGGGCGATGGTCCCTTGGAAGGCTCCGTCCGGAGATATTCAGACGCGGCCGGACGACCGCTATGTCCCATTGGCCTATCCAGTGAGCCAAATCTTTGAGGCCATCAAGGACAAGGGCCTCCTGATGGAACCCCAAGATATGAAGAAGCACATGGGGCTTGACCAATCGGCCTACTGTGAATACCATCAGAGGGCCGGCCACCTGACGGACAATTGCAGCCAACTAAAGAAAGCAATCGACGAACTGATCCGTCAGGGGTACCTGGGCGAGTTCACCCAGCTGCTGAACAAAAACAGCCAGCAGAAGCCGAACCCAAGGCCCCGAACATGGCGCCGCGACGACCGGCGCGAGGTAGAGCCCCAGGATGTGGATTATCGAAGTGTGGATAAACGTCCGGAGGGGTCCCTTGGCCCGAAGGGCAAAAAGAAGAAGCTGGAGATCAAGGTGATCTTCGGGGGCGCTGAGACAGGGGACACACCCGCCGAGCGGAAAAAATTTGAGAGATCACTCTACGTGGGTTCCGTATCAGCACCCCCCACCAAGCGCAACAAGATCGAGGCAATCACCTTCGGTCCCGCCGATCTGCCGATGTCACCAGCGCCGCACAGAGACGAGCTGGTGATCAACATGGACGTGAACGATGCCATCGTCCGCCGCGTCCTTGTTGATACCGGGAGCAGTGTTAACGTCCTCTACTGGGAGGCTTTCGAGGGAATGAAGCTCAAGAAGGACATGCTGCACCCTCTGCGTACCCCGCTGTCCGGCTTCACCGGGGACTGCATTGACGCTGAGGGCACCATCATCTTGCCAGTAGAGATCGGCGACGGCCCTCACACCGCCCGGATCGGGATGACGTTCGTCGTGGTCCGCCTAAAATGCGCCCACAACGCCATTTTGGGCCGACCCGACTTGGAAGACTTGGGGGCCATATGCTCCGTACGGCACTCATGCATCAAATTCCCCACCGACACCGGAGTGGGGGTAGCACGTACGGACCCACATATGGCCAGGGCCTGCTACACAAAGGCCATGGAGAAGCTCAACGAGCGAGAAGCCCGGGTCAACAGCATCTCCGAGAAGGCCAAACAGGCCGACTTGGACGCCCATCTGGAACCAGCTACCCTGCTGGAGGAAATCGAGCTCGACGACCCGACGGACAGGAAGGTGTCCATCGGTGCAGACCTAGAGCCGGAGATCAGAGCGGGGGTCATAGCCGTCCTCCGAAGGTTCAGAATCCTGTTCGCCAGAGGGCCGGAGGACATGCCGGGCATCGACCCCAACCTCATATGCCATAGACTCGCCGTGCGGTCGGATGCCAAGCCTATGCAACAGAAGAAAAGATATATGGCGGCCGACCGACGCGATTTCATCCGGAAGGAGACAGCCACTCTCCTCAGCATCAAACATATCCGCCCTGTCATCCACGTAGAGTGGTTGGCCAACGTGGTACTAGCCCCGAAGGGCGACACCTGGCGGATGTGCGTCGATTACTCGGACCTCAACAAAGCTTGTCCAATGGATCCTTACCCTGTTCCGAGGATCGACTTGCTGGTGGATGAGACAGCAGGCTGCGAACTGCTCGGCTTCATGGACGCATTCAGAGGCTACCATCAGGTGTTTCATGCACCCCGATGATGCCGAAAAAACGGCGTTCGTCACGGCGGACGGCGTGTATTGCTACATCGTCATGCCGTTCGCCCTGAGGAACGCCATGGCTACTTTTCAGAGGATGATTGGGATGTTGTTCAAGGACGTACTTGGGAAAACAATGGAAGCTTACGTGGATGACATCCTGATCAAGAGTAAGAAAAAGGAGGACCATGCCCAGGACATGGAGAGGGTCTTCAGCATCATGGAGAGGGCCAGCATGAGGCTCAATCCGAAAAAGTGTGCCTTCGCTGTCAGGGGAGGCAAGTTCCTCGGCTACATGATGAGCGAGCGGGGGATCGAGCCTAACCCGGAGAAGGTGAAGGCAATTATGGACATGGAGGCCCCAAAGAACCTTGTTAAAGTATAAACTAGAATGATATTGAACATGGAGAGAAGGATTTTCTGTATTTAATATGAGAGGGTTAAGGCCCTATATATAGGTTACAAAGAAGGAATATTCCTACATAAGATGCTATACAATAATAATGTCTAGAGTATATTCCTAAAGCATATTCTTATATACATTAATTCTTTCACACTCCCCCTCAAGTTGGAGCATAGATATTTATCATGCCCAACTTGTTACATAAGTACTCAACGCGAATCCCATTTAGAGCTTTAGTGAATAAATCTCCAAGTTGTTCTCCAGTCTTCACATAACCGGTAGAGATCAAACCTTTTTGTATCTTCTCTCGAATAAAATGACAATCAACTTCAATATGCTTTGTTCTCTCATGAAATACAGGATTGTTTGCTATGTGTATAGCAGCTTGGTTATCACACCACAATTTAGCAGGCATTGATGTCTTCAATCCGAGCTCAGTCAATAAATGGCTTATCCATATGATCTCACATGCAGATTGTGCCATAGCTCGATATTCTGATTCAGCACTCGAACGAGAAACCACATTCTGTTTCTTACTCTTCCAAGATACAAGATTACCACCAACAAAGACGCAATAACCAGATGTAGATCTTCGATCATCTTTAGAACCGGCCCAATCAGCATCTGCAAAACATTCTATTCTCATGTGGTCATGGTTTTGGTAAACAATACCTCGTCCTGGTGCACCCTTTAAGTAACATAATATGTGTTCTACAGCAGCCCAATGATCAATGGTTGGAGATGACATGTATTGACTCACTACACTCACAGAATATGCAATATCTGGACGAGTGACTGCGAGATAATTAAGCTTTCCAACCAATCTTCTATATCTTTCTGGGTCTTCAAATGGTGTGCCTTCTTGAGTGAGTTGCACGTTGGGAACCATGGGTGTTGTACTTGGTTTTGCCCCTAATTTCCCTGTCTCGGCTAGTAAGTCAAGTACATATTTACGTTGAGATAGAAGTATGCCTTTCTTACTTCGTGTTACCTCAATTCCCAAAAAATATTTCAATGAGCCAAGATCTTTCGTCTGGAATTGACTATGCAGAAAATTCTTAAGGGCCAAAATACCTGCATTATCACTCCCTGTAATCACAATATCATCAACATACACCACAAGCAATGTGATACCTGCTTTCGTTTGTCTGTAAAAGACGGAGTGATCTGATTGTCCTTTTATCATTCCAAACCTTTCAATGGATTGACTGAATTTCCCAAACCATGCACGGGGACTTTGTTTCAGACCATAAAGAGACTTGCGAAGTTGACAAACTTTCCCATACTCCCCCTGAGCAACAAACCCCGGAGGTTGCTCAATATAAACTTCCTCCTGAAGGTCACCATGCAAGAATGCATTTTTAATGTCTAACTGATGTAAGTGCCAACCATGAGTTGCAGCAAGTGAAATAAGTAACCTGACAGATGTTAATTTAGCAACAGGAGAAAAAGTGTCAGAATAGTCAACACCATAGGTTTGAGCATAACCCTTCGCAACTAATCGAGCTTTCAATCGAGCAACAGATCCATCTGGGTTAACCTTAACAGCAAAGACCCACTTACATCCAATAGACTTCTTCCCTGTAGGCAAGTCTACCAAATCCCAAGTACCATTAAGATCCAAAGCATTCATTTCCTCTACCATGGCATGACGCCATTCAGGATGAGACAAAGCTTCTTTAACAGATTTGGGAACAGAAATAGAATCAATGGAAGCAATAAAAGAACATGAGGCAGAGGATAACTGACTATATGACACAAATGAAGAAATAGGATGAGTACAAGACCGTGTACCTTTACGTAGTGCTATCGGGAGGTCAAGATCTGATGTAGAGACAAGATCTGAAGATGCAGGTACTGGTTCAGGACATGAGATCGAAGCCGGACTAGTATTAGGATAAGTAATCACAGGTGTCACAGGTGGATGGTGATCTGGTGCTTTGTGTCGACGGGTGTAAACCAAGTGTACTGGAGGTCTGGGGTCAGGAATAGGAACATTCGGTATAGTTACTGAAGGGGTAGTCTCAGGTATAGTAACCGTGTAAATGAGTATTTCATCGTTGTCCTCATGAATATCTGTCTTGGATGATGACCAAGGTGTATTTTCATGAAATGAGACATCAATAGAAACAAGATATCGACCTGTACTCGGACAAAAACATCTATACCCCTTTTGAACTCGAGAATAACCTAAGAAAATACATTTCAATGATTTGGGATCCAACTTCGTGCGATGAGGGTTAACATTTCTAACAAAACAAGTGCAACCAAAGATTTTAGGTGGAATGGGAAAAAGTTCTTTATTTGGAAAAAGGCATTGATAAGGAGTTTTACCATCCAAAACAGAAGATGGCATACGATTGATCAAAAAACATGAAGTAGACACAGCATCAGCCCAAAACTGTTTAGGCACATTCATTTGGAATAGAAGAGCCCTTGCAGTTTCTAACAGATGTCGATTCTTTCTTTCAGCAACTCCATTTTGAGGAGGTGTGTCTACGCATGAAGTTTGATGAATAATGCCATGTTGAAGCATAAAAGATTTAAATGGAGCGGATAGATATTCTTGGGCATTGTCTCCCCTTAACACACGAACAGGAACATTAAATTGAGTTTTAATTTCTGCACAAAATGCAGAGAAATGAGTAAATAACTCAGATCGACGCTTCATAAAATATAACCATGTCATACGAGAATAATCGTCAACAAAAGTAACAAAATATTTGAAACCAGATTTGGACACAACCGGACATGCCCCCCAAACATCAGTATGGACAAGATCAAACGGAGCATTGGCTCGTTTATTAAGTCGGGGACTTAAAGTAGTGCGATGATGTTTTGCAAATTCACATGACTCACATTGTATAGATGACACCTTATTAAACTGAGGATATATCTGTTTCATAAGTGTGAGAGATGGGTGTCCTAGTCTGTAATGAGCCTCTAACAAAGTTCCAACCCCAAGACAAGAGATACCTTTTGTTATTGATGTATCCAAAATATAAAGACCAGCCGACTCATGTCCTTTACCAATAGTCTGCTTCGTTAACAGATCCTGAAACACACAATATCCAGGAAAAAATGTTACAGAACACTTAAGAGTACGTGTGATTTTACTGATGGAAAGCAGATTAAACGCAAAATTAGGAAGACTCAAAACAGGTGATAATGGTAAAGTAGATGTTGGGACAACAGTACCGGATCCAAGGACGGGTGAGGTAGACCCGTCAGCTAAAGTGACATTAGAAGTAGGTAAATATGAATGAAATGATGAGAATAGACTAGGATTACCGGTCATATGATCTGTGGCACCTGAGTCAATAACCCATTTTGAGGATGATGAAACAAGACATGTGTTTGAAATACCTGAATTAGCAACTACCGAGGTAGGGACAAAGGAATGCTTTAGAGATTCTTGGTAGCAAATAAATTTGGCATACTCGTCTGAAGAAATAGCAATTGATCCATCAGAGGAACTGGTAGCGGAAGCAACATGAGCAAGCTGATTTCCTTGATTTTTGAATAGCAATTTTCTACATTCTTTAATCAAGTGTCCGGGTTTCTTGCAGTAATTGCATATTACTCCTTTGTCAAACTGACCTGTTGTACGAGACATTTTTTTTTTTTTGGCTTTTTTTTTTTTTGATTTTTTTTTTTATGAGAATGTAATTACGTTCAAAATTGAGATATCCAATGAAAATTTACAGCAGCCCGTTTGTGGACTTGACCTTGGAGAATAAAAGATCCAATCTGCTTGGGCTTGGGCTTTGACTGTTACTTCAGAGTCCAGATTCCGGACAAAAGTCCGATTCCAGACCCTCAACAAAATAAAGTAATACGGAGTACCAGATATCGGATCAGACTAACAGACATCGGATCCCACACCCCAGCGACGCAAGACCAGGAACAAACGTGCGTATGTCCCGGATGCTTCGATGCCAGACCCTAGCGAGCGAGAAGTGGGCGAGAAGTAACGACCAACCACTATATCTCCTCCACAGCTATCGTCCCTTTTTTAAAGGAAGAACGAGAGAGAAGTAACTTGTACCTGGTGGTAGAGTTCAGCCGAGCCTGTTGAAGAGTTCCAATCAAATCTCTGGCCAGAAAAGTGTAGCACGCTCGCCTGGCAGTTCGGTGTCGGATTTCAGCTGCTGGGTCGTCTGAGGTAGGCGCACCTCCTGACTATGGATGTGACTCGAATTCTGGTCTGAAGAATCTGGGGCTATAAAGCTAACTGAACTGAGTTTCTGAAATATTAGCAGCTACTTGATTTTCTGGAAAGTAGCAGCTAATTGATTTTCTGGAAAGTAGCAGCTAATTGATTTTATGGATTAAGAATCTGGTAGGATTCCGAAGTTTCTGGACTGAAATAAGCTCTTGGAGAAAGAACCCCGCTGTAAACTAAACTAATAAACCAAACTGAGATATGAATGACTAAAATAAAATATGAAAATTAAACTGAAATGGATGGCTCTGATACCATGTTAAAGTATAAACTAGAATGATATTGAACATGGAGAGAAGGATTTTCTGTATTTAATATGAGAGGGTTAAGGCCCTATATATAGGTTACAAAGAAGGAATATTCCTACATAAGATGCTATACAATAATAATGTCTAGAGTATATTCCTAAAGCATATTCTTATATACATTAATTCTTTCACAAACCTAAAAGACGTGCAGCGGCTCACCGGGCGTCTGGCGGCCCTGAGCAGATTCTTATCCAAGCTGGCTGATAAGGCGGTCCCCTTTTTCCAGATCATGAAGAAGGCCAATCCCTTTGAATGGACCCCGGAATGTCAGGCTGCTTTCGAAGATTTCAAAGTATATCTCTCCTCTCCGCTCGTCCTCACCAAAGCGGATCCCGGGGAGAGATTGTCCATGTATTTGGCAGTAGCCGATCTGGTCGTGAGTGCCGTGCTGCTGAAGGAGTCTGAAGGCGTTCAGCGGCCAACATACTTTGTGAGTAAGGCGCTGAACGGCCCCGAGACGAGATACACACTGATGGAGAAGACGATCCTCGCCTTGATTGCATCCATCAAGCGTCTGGCGCCGTATTTCCAAGCACACCCGGTGACCGTCTACACGACGCAGCCCCTCGCCACAGTCCTCAGGAATCCAATGGCAAGCGGAAGGATAACCAAGTGGTCCTTGATGATCGGCCAGTACGACGTGGACTTCAAGCCAAGGCCGACGATCAAAGGACAGGCACTGGCGGACTTCATTGCGGAATGCACCGCGCGCACCGAGAACGGATCCCATGACAACAACGACTTTGACAATTGGTGGGAGATGTACACCGATGGGGCCTCGAGTGCGCGGGGCTGTGGAGGAGGAGCGGTGATCACTTCCCCCGAGGGTTTCAAGGCCTACTACTCTATGAAATTTGAGTTCAAGGTCACCAACAACGAGGCTGAGTACGAGGCGCTTATCGCGGGGCTGAAATGCGCGAAAGCCCTCGGAGCAGCTCGTCTGAAGGTGAGGATGGACAGCCAGCTGGTGGTAACCCAGATGAACGGCACTGCAGAAACCAGGGAAGAGAGAATGAAGGTTTACAAGGAGCTGGCGGAGGAGCAGACCGCGCAATTTGAGCAGGTGATCCTTGAGCAGGTATCACGGGTGGAAAATGCAGAGGCGGACATACTATCAAAGCTAAGCAACCCCCCAACTGATGATCCGGCGTCAAGCATCCCCCGCCACATCAGAGGCTTCGTCAGGCAGGAAGTGTTCCCAGCACCGGCGACGGACGTCATCCAGGTAGAGGTTATCTCCATCGCCGAACCCGACTGGGCGAAGGAGATAGCAGATTACCTCAGAGACGGAACACTCCCCGAGCCCGACGAAGATGGCAGCACAAGAAGAGCTGCATGGATAAAGAGGCGTGCCCCTAACTTTGAACTTATTGACGGGCAACTCTACAAGAAGACGTTCGGCGGACCTTACCTCAGGTGCCTCCCGCCGAGCCTGGCAGCAGCGGTGATCGAAGAGATACATGAAGGGATCTGTTCCAGCCACCAAGGCCCCCGAACCTTGGCCAGAAAAATCATCCTGCAGGGCTATTACTGGCCAACCATACAGCAAGATTGCTTCAACCACACTCGGAAGTGCGCAGTATGCCAACAGTATGCGCCCGTCCCTGGACGTCCAGCGAGCTTCTACACCCCGATGACCATCGCACTACCCTTCGCTAGGTGGGGCATAGATTTGTTGGGTCCTCTGCCAACGGCCGCTGGAGGAAGGAAATTCGTCATTGTGGCGATTGATTATTTCACCAAGTGGGTGGAGGCCGAACCACTGGCCTCCATCACTGAATTCCAGTGCCAGAAGTTCGTCTGGCAAAACGTCATATGCCGCTTCGGGATCCCGGAGCAGATCATCACCGATAACGGCCGGCAGTTCGTCGGCAGAGGGTTTGAGGCATACTTGGCAAAGTGGGGCATCAGGCACTCTAAGGCCTCGGTGGCCTACCCGCAGGCCAACGGCCAGGTGGAGAACATGAACCGGACCATCATGGATGGGATCAAGAAGAAGTTGGAAGACTACACCTCCACCTGGCCGGAGCAGCTGAATTATGTCTTGTGGACGTACAGGACGACGCCAAGAACGACGACTGGGGAAACCCCTTTTGCCTTGGCTTACGGATTCCAAGCTAAGGTGCCGACGGAGGTGTTGGTACCTACACATCGCACCAAGCATTACCAGCCGGAGGACAACGAGGCCAACCTACGGGCGGAGCTCCATTTCATTGAGGAACGGAGGGACCTAGCGGCTCGTCGCATGGAAGAGTATCACAGGGCCACTCAGAGATACTTCAACAAGGCCGTGAAATTACGCGAAATAGAGTCCGGGGACCTCGTACTCAGAAAAAGAGAGAAGAGCAAACCGCTCGAAGGTGGCAAAATGGCGAAGAACTGGGAAGGACCCTACCGGGTCATCAGAAGATATAACCAGGGGACGTTCCTTGATAGGCTCGTTCCGTTCCTATCTTTCACCCATATTTTGGGTGTTAATTGTCTAATTTTTATAATTAACCGGGTGACTATTGGGGGTTTTGAATGAAAATTTGTTATTTTTCGGTCCCGATGACATTCATTTTCAGTTTAGTAGTTTTCCACACAATTTGATTTTTTTTGGAGTAATTTGATTGTAAAATTACATATTTTTAGCGGGTGTGGTGAGTTGTTATTGTACAGGCTGAATTTTGCGGTGAATAACATGTTATGTCTGGACCGGATATTTTGAGAATCCTGTTAAGATTAATTTGGATCAGCAGCCCAAGAGAAAAAAACTGCCGCAATTTTGATCAGTCCAAAATGAGAAAAAAAAAAGTTCGGTGGAGGGTTTTTTTCCCCGGATAGCAGCCGCATCAGTTATGCTAATTTTTCTGCTCATTAGCACCGTAGCCGCACATCATCATCCATTCCTTCCTTTCAATTTTTTTGAAGAAAACCCCAGCCGCACCAGAGAGATTTTTCTTTTCAATTCGTAGCAGCAGTCCACTTAGCTGAAGCAGTAGCATAGCTTTTCAATTCCATTCTTTCTGTTCGTAGACAAGCAGCCGCAGAAGAGTTCATCCATTCTGTCTGTTCCTGAAAACAATTAGCCGCATCAGGTTTTTTCTATTCTGGAACAGCAAACAATAGACAGTTCTGTCGTTCTTTCTCTTCTGAAAAAAACGCAGCAGCAAAAAAAAAGACCTAAGGAGTTCTATGATTCACTTTTCTTTCAATTCATTCCAATCTAGTTTAGATTTCAGCAAGTATTGTAAGTTCAATTATCTTTTACATTACTAGTTCTAGCTTTTGGATTGAATTTCGAATTTATTTGTCTCCAACTAATAATTTCAGAATTTTTCCATCTTTCTTTGATATAATTCAGTTTTTATTTCTAGCTCATTATCAGGTTTATCAATATTATTGTGATGTTAGTTTTAGATATGAGTAGCTAATTTCATATAGGGTTTGAATTGGGGCTAGGGTTCATGGGTTCTTGAGGGTGTGAATTTAGTTCTTTAAAATTCAATTAATTTTCTGGAAAATTGTATAAGATTAATCATAATTGTCTATATGAATTTGATCACCTCATATATGAATACTTGGATTTAATTCAATTCTTGTCTATGAGAAATTGAGTTAAATTAGCTCAGGTCTTATACAAGCAATCTGATCTTAGAAATAAGTTAGGATTGTCGAAATATGATTTAATTCTTGTCTATGAGAATTTATTTCATTTTCTGTCCAGGAATAATTGAAAATTAATTTACTTAATTCTAATCCGGAAAGAACACCCAGAACCCGAACCATCCAATTTGAACCCTGCTTTTATATCTAGAATTAATTTAATTATTTGTTTTCCTCTCTACTTATTTTTGCACTCGCTATTAGTCAGTTTATTAGTCAGTTTTATTTTCAAACCACTCAAAAAATATTTATTCGGAAAGATTACCATGACTTGTGCTAGCCTGTGATCACGGACTGTATTTAAAACTTCCTTTTTGCCACTCCTTGAGAGACGATACTCGTGGTCTGGTTATTCTTCGGATTAGCCAACTACGTTTTACTCACTATAAAATACACCGATCAAATGGCGCCGTTGCCGGGGAAAGTGTTGATTAGGTGTGAGGAGACCCACTTGGCCTTAAGTTGGGAAAAGTGTCACTTCATGGTCAAGGAGGGTATTGTGCTAGGTCATAAGGTGTCATCTAAGGGGATTGAGGTTGACAAGGCGAAAATTGAGGCTATTGAGAAACTCCCGCCTCCAAAGAACGTGAAGGCTGTCCGTAGCTTTCTCGGCCACGCTGGCTTCTACCGTCGTTTTATACGGGATTTCTCAAAAATAGCTAAACCTCTCACCCGTTTGCTTGAGAAAGATGCTGATTTTTTGTTTGATGATGAATGTTTGCTTGCTTTTAATTGTTTGAAACTTAAGTTGATGGAAGCTCCAGTTTTAGTTGCTCCAGATTGGGAAATCCCCTTTGAGCTGATGTGTGATGCTAGCGATCAGGTGGTCGGGGCCATTCTTGGCCAACGGAAGGATAATCACTTCCGCCCCATCTATTACGCTAGCAAAACCTTAGCGGGACCCCAATTGAATTATACCACTACAGAGAAGGAGCTTCTGGCTATTGTGTATGCTTTGGAGAAGTTTAGGTCGTACATTATTTTGTCTGAAGTAATTATCTACACCGATCATTCGGCATTGAGATATTTATTTCAGAAGCACGACTCTAAACCTAGACTTCTCCGTTGGATTTTGTTGTTGCAGGAATTTCACATAGAGATTAGGGACCGGAAGGGTTCCGCCAATCAGGCAGCTGATCATTTATCACGATTAGATGCTGATTTGGTAGACTCTTTTAGTAATGATGTTATCGAGGAACTTTTTCCTGATGAACGTCTTTTGCAGGTTAAGATTGCTTCCGAGGTGCCCTGGTATGCAGACATAGCCAACTATTTAGTAGGCAATGTTGAGCCTACCGGGCTATCTCGGCACATGTTAAAAAAGTTTTTGTCTGATGCTAAGTATTATTTCTGGGATGACCCTTATTTGTTCAGGATTTGCGCTGACCAGGTAGTAAGAAGATGTATTCCTGAGAGTGAAATGAGTGAGATTTTGTACCATTGTCATGCTGGCCCTGCTGGGGGGCATTTTTCTGGTAATAGGACAGCAAGAAGAGTGCTAGAGTGTGGGTATTATTGGCCCACGTTGTTCAAGGATGCGAATTCTTATGTTGCCTCATGTGATAGGTGTCAACGGGTAGGAAATATTTCTAAACGAGATGAGATGCCCCAGACATATCTATTGCCTTGTGAAGTTTTTGATGTCTGGGGGATTGATTTTGTAGGCCCGTTCCCTAGCTCAAGAGGCAATAAATTTATTTTAGTCGCTATTGATTATGTGTCAAAGTGGGTAGAGGCTATTGCGAGCCCTACCAATGATGCTAGAGTTGTTGTGCGGTTTGTGAAAAAATTGTTTTCCAGGTTTGGAGTCCCAAAAGTTTTGATTAGTGACCGAGGAACCCATTTTCGTAATGATCCGCTAGCTCGTGTTCTGTCTAAATATGGGGTTCAACATCGGCAGGGAGTAGCCTACCATCCCCAAACTCAAGGGCAAGTAGAGAATGCAAATCGGGATCTTAAGGCTATCCTAGAAAAAACTGTAGCGCAAACTCGTAAGGATTGGTCAGAAAAATTAGATGATGCGCTATGGGCTTTTAGGACAGCTTATAAGACCCCGATTGGTACTACTCCTTTCCGATTAGTTTATGGGAAATCTTGTCATTTACCAGTGGAAGTAGAACATAGGGCACTTTGGTCTTTAAATACTGTTTGTCTTGATTCATCTAGTGCAGGTAAAGAGCGGTTCTTTCAGCTGAATGAATTGGATGAGTGGAGGGCTCAGGCCTTTCATAATTCATATTTATATAAAGAGAGAGTGAAGCAGGCTCATGACAAGCACATTAAGGCGGACCGCCAATTTGTGGAGGGAGAGAAGGTGTTGTTGTATAATTCCAGATTGAGACTTTTTCCTGGGAAGCTGAAGTCCCGATGGACGGGACCATACACTGTGCGTCGAGTGTATCCCTATGGAAGTGTGGAGATTGAGCATAATGATGGCCAGGTTGTCAAGGTTAATGGCAGCCAACTGAAACACTATTTTGGGGGAACGTTTGAAAAAAGGAAGGAAGTTTTTTGCCTTGAACCAGTTTAGGAACGAGGGCTTATCGTCAAGCTAGTGACGTTAAAGAAGCGCTTATGGGAGGCAACCCACCATAAAAAAAATGGAGTTTTTTATTTCTTATTTATGCATTTTTGTTTATGTTGTTTTTATGTTTTCATCTTGTGGTTGTGTGGTTGGATTTCTTTGTTGCTTTGAATTGCATATGCAACCTGGTTATCATAGACAGGTGAGGATGGAGCTCCTCAAGGCTGTCAGCTGCAGATTACTTTGCAGCAAGCCCGAAAGCGGTATGAGAGCTGGACGCAACTTCAAACACTTGCAGGGCAATGGTTAGAGGCCTACACATGTTCAAGGAGTTGGGGTTTCGCTGGACAGAAACTTGGCAGCAGCAGAGGAACATTTCTGGCAGATTCTGGGAGATTTTGGACGGTGTGAGATGCCGACTTTTGAGGCCAGAACAGCTGGTCCTTGGCCGTTTTCTGTCAGCATAAGCATCACAGTACATGAGGGAGGAACCAGTTGGATGCCACACACTCTTATCCGGTTCAGATTGAAGGGAAGCAATTTCAATACACTTATTGAGTTCGGTAACCGGCATAGGTGCAGGCAGAGTAGCTCCAGCAGCTCACTTTTGGTTTACCAGCAAGCTTTGGCAGCATAAATGGGAAATTCACAGTTATGGCACACTTGCCACGCTTTCTCAAGAGTTGAAGGACTTCAAGTAGCGTACGAGGCAGACTGTGTGCAGGATTAGGGAGGTTATTCACTGCCGTTTGGCTTGTACGGTATTCTGCCAGCTCTTACTACGCTACTAATAATGTGTGCTTACTGTCATATTACTCCTCTTGTTGATTTGTGTTGATTATTATTCTGATTATGATATGTTGCCGGGCTGAAAATCATTTTATATTTAACTTGCCCCTATTATTTTTGTTTTAATCTTTTCTTTGACCTCGAGGGCGATGTCACCCCTAAGTGTGGGGAGGTTTGGTTTTAGTTTGGACATGGCATTTGGTGATGAAATTATTCTGCTCAACAACATTTTGAGGGGCACAAGATTTTTTCTAGTTTAGCAACGCAACAGAGGTAACTTGTTAATCTTTATTTTCTTTTGTAAACTTCCATCTCCTCCATCTTTCTTGGAAAGAATTAGTAATGGTGTAATCATCGGGGTGGTGTGTATATTCTTGGGAAATGTTGGCATGTTGGATGGTTTGATTTGTGTCGATTAAATTCAGTTTTACTCGTGATTCAGTAGTTCTTCATCAATAAATGCTTGACTGGCCAGGTGTTGAAAATCCTTACTCCGTAAGGAGCTCTGCTTTCTAAGCATATCGGGATAACTTCACGCTAAGCAGGTAACTGATTCTTGTAATGGGGTTACACTTCGTGTGTCGAGAATTTCATCCCCGAAATGGGGCTCTGCTCATCTCGTGAATCACCCTGTGTGAGAGTTGAGTACACGGTAATGAGATAAACTCCCAGGCCCTAGAGCTTGAATCAGTCCTGTAATCCAGAACATGGTCAACTTTTCATATTAAAAAAAAAATCACGAGTATACTGATTTTTATCACACAATTCTTGGGTTTTTGGAATGTTTGGTGGTTTGAATTTTACACACCTACACCGTTGGGACCATCATGCTTTTCCTTACATTTTAGTCGGTTGAAGAGGGATTTTACTTTTGAAAATATTGTTTAACATGTGAATCTTGGTTTCGCTGTTAAGAAAGAAAAGATATTGTGCAGTCATTTGTTTTAGGTGTGAATGATTTTGGAACCAGGTGTTACATGTGATTTTTTGTTTTCCGTGGGTTTAATGCACTGTTGCTTGGGGGCAAGCAACGCTCAAGTGTGGGGAGATTTGATAGGCTCGTTCCGTTCCTATCTTTCACCCATATTTTGGGTGTTAATTGTCTAATTTTTATAATTAACCGGGTGACTATTGGGGGTTTTGAATGAAAATTTGTTATTTTTCGGTCCCGATGACATTCATTTTCAGTTTAGTAGTTTTCCACACAATTTGATTTTTTTTGGAGTAATTTGATTGTAAAATTACATATTATTAGCGGGTGTGGTGAGTTGTTATTGTACAGGCTGAATTTTGCGGTGAATAACATGTTATGTCTGGACCGGATATTTTGAGAATCCTGTTAAGATTAATTTGGATCAGCAGCCCAAGAGAAAAAAACTGCCGCAATTTTGATCAGTCCAAAATGAGAAAAAAAAAAAGTTCGGTGGAGGGTTTTTTTCCCCGGATAGCAGCCGCATCAGTTATGCTAATTTTTCTGCTCATTAGCACCGTAGCCGCACATCATCATCCATTCCTTCCTTTCAATTTTTTTGAAGAAAACCCCAGCCGCACCAGAGAGATTTTTCTTTTCAATTCGTAGCAGCAGTCCACTTAGCTGAAGCAGTAGCATAGCTTTTCAATTCCATTCTTTCTGTTCGTAGACAAGCAGCCGCAGAAGAGTTCATCCATTCTGTCTGTTCCTGAAAACAATTAGCCGCATCAGGTTTTTTCTATTCTGGAACAGCAAACAATAGACAGTTCTGTCGTTCTTTCTCTTCTGAAAAAAACGCAGCAGCAAAAAAAAAAGACCTAAGGAGTTCTATGATTCACTTTTCTTTCAATTCATTCCAATCTAGTTTAGATTTCAGCAAGTATTGTAAGTTCAATTATCTTTTACATTACTAGTTCTAGCTTTTGGATTGAATTTCGAATTTATTTGTCTCCAACTAATAATTTCAGAATTTTTCCATCTTTCTTTGATATAATTCAGTTTTTATTTCTAGCTCATTATCATGTTTATCAATATTATTGTGATGTTAGTTTTAGATATGAGTAGCTAATTTCATATAGGGTTTGAATTGGGGCTAGGGTTCATGGGTTCTTGAGGGTGTGAATTTAGTTCTTTAAAATTCAATTAATTTTCTGGAAAATTGTATAAGATTAATCATAATTGTCTATATGAATTTGATCACCTCATATATGAATACTTGGATTTAATTCAATTCTTGTCTATGAGAAATTGAGTTAAATTAGCTCAGGTCTTATACAAGCAATCTGATCTTAGAAATAAGTTAGGATTGTCGAAATATGATTTAATTCTTGTCTATGAGAATTTATTTCATTTTCTGTCCAGGAATAATTGAAAATTAATTTACTTAATTCTAATCCGGAAAGAACACCCAGAACCCGAACCATCCAATTTGAACCCTGCTTTTATATCTAGAATTAATTTAATTATTTGTTTTCCTCTCTACTTATTTTTGCACTCGCTATTAGTCAGTTTATTAGTCAGTTTTATTTTCAAACCACTCAAAAAATATTTATTCGGAAAGATTACCATGACTTGTGCTAGCCTGTGATCACGGACTGTATTTAAAACTTCCTTTTTGCCACTCCTTGAGAGACGATACTCGTGGTCTGGTTATTCTTCGGATTAGCCAACTACGTTTTACTCACTATAAAATACACCGATCATTCCTCCTCCATACCCTGGAGGGGAACCATGCCGGGATGTGGAACGTAGAACACCTGAAGAAGTTCTATCAATAGTTAGAGGTTGTTGTCCTTGTATTATTCCCACTCCCATGTAAAATGACCGGACGTCGTCAATAATAAGGCCCCCTGTTTTTCATCACTCCTGTTCTTGCCAACGACCGTTAAGGAAGGGAATCTCGACGTAGATATACCTGTCCGCCCCTGTGAGTCTTGCGGCCACCGATCGGCTTCTTCGAGGAAAGAAGCATCGACCGAACCCCGGACCAGGGACGTACGAAGCACCAGGGAATCTCGATGCAGATAAACCTGTTCCTCATTGAGATGTCTACGGATACCGAATGTCTCCTCGAAGTAGGGACGTCGGTAGGACCAAGGACCAATGACGAACGAAGAGTATAGATTGCCTCCCTAAAAAAAAAAAGAAAAAAAAAAGAAAGATGGGGAGAAGAGGAGGGTAGCTCCTATGCGGAAGGGAATCTTGCCCGGGCGTGCCAGATCTCCCCCCACCGCCGAAGACGAACACCTCTCGATGTAGAGATTAGTAGAGACGCGGAGGGGGCTAGACGAACCAAGGGAGCCTGCCAAGATAAACCTGTTTATCCCACAAATGACCATGGATCGATGGACGTGGGATAACAAAGTCGGGAACCCGTGAGGGTAAACCTTTTCGTCCCTGCGAGTTTCTTGGGTACCGAACGTCTTCTTCGAAGCAAGAGACACCGGTAAGACTAAAAGGACCACGAACGAACAAAGAAAAGGGGAATCTCGATGTAGATAAACCTGTTCCTCCTTGCGATGTCTGCGGATACCGAACGTCTCCTCGAAGTAGGGACGCCGGTAGGACCAAGGACCAAGGACGAACGAAGACTAAAAGACTCCAAAAAAAAAAGATGCCAGAAGAGCACGGAGCAAAGAATGATTTTATTCTTCGGCACTATTGGCCGGGAAACTACAATGTACGAGGGTACAATGCAAATAATGGAAAAAAATTGTACAAGTACAAGACAACGAACGGGGAATCACTGCCGATCGACGTCCGGAGTTGGGGCCTTGGAAGGAGTCTGCTCGGCTTTCTCCCTAGCCTCGGCTTCCTCCTGCTCCTTCAGCAGCTCGAGGGCCCCCGCATGAGCATCCGCCATCAGAACATCAAAGCCAGCCGCCTCCGGATCGAAAGGAGCCCCGAAGTGACGCTCGAACGTGGGGAGATTCTCCGCTACGAGCCCAACCATTCCCTTGCGATAGGTATCATCGGCAAGATCATCAAGGAAACGCCGTCCGGTGGGGGTGGCCTGGAGCAATTTGACCCCATCCAGATAGGCGTCCGGGCAGGTGGCTAGAAACTCTCCGACGAGCCTCGGGAGAAACTTCATGGCCATGGTGTGAATGGCGCCAGTGTAAGCTTTGGATTTCTGGAAGGCAATGGAACCAGATTCCTTAATCTTGGCAACATTGGCTTCGTAGATAGGGACATGATTGTCCACGCCTGTGCGGCGGAGTTCCACCTTGCCTGATCTACGGCCCACATCCGACTGCGAAGATCCACAAGCTCGGCCTCCTGTTTCTTGAGGAGCTCCTTCTGAGAAGCATTCTCCTGAACGAGCTTGTCATAGGCGTCGGCTTTCTCTTGAAGAGTTCCAGCCCTGCCTTTTGCATTCCTCAGAAGGGCGTCACATTCGGCCCGCACCCTGGCCATCTCCCTGCCCTGGTGCTCGAAGGCCATCCGAGCCCTGTGAAAGTAGAGCCCGGCCTTATCCAGTGTGCTCTGGCCGCACTCCAAGAGATCTTCAGGGGCCTCCTGAGCAGCGAAGTCCTGCGGAACCTTGAGATTCAGCCCACACCAGATGGAGGACGCTATCTGGCCGAAGAGCATCATTGACTCTTTGCGGGGACCAACCCCGGAGAACTCAATCAGGCCAAGAGAAGACCCACTGGCTTCGGGGGGCGAGCTTGGACGAGCGTCGTCAGAACCCTTGGCAGCTTGGGCATCATCATCCCGGAGATGGCGGGCGTCGGAATTCCGCGGAGGAGAAGCACGGGGATTGATCCGGGAAGTGGGCTTCCGCTTGAGGGGACTTCCGGGCTCCCCATCAGAATCATCGGCCAAGATGATGGCCTTGGAGGAAGTGCCCTCCACACGCGGCCTCTTGGAGGCGCCGGCCCCCGAAGTATCATCGGCCCGTGCCCTGGTCACCCGAGACTCGACCTTGGGGACGAGCGGCTTCCCGACCTTATCATGACCCTTGTGCTCACGGCCGGCGGCAGTGAGGGCAGTGTTGGCACGGCCCATGGTAGACGTGGATGGGAAAATTCCTGCACAAAAGGAACCAAGACGTTCAGAGCCATAACAGCGAAGCGATGTTAAAATAATGCAAGTACAAACGGACGCACCTAACCCAGCCTGTGTAACACCGGACCCGAATTTTACCCAGATAAAATTTTTTCGTAAACTACTTGGTTAAAGAAGGTAAATCAAGACTAAGAGTAGTCTTGATAAATGAGAAAGTTAAAATTTTGTCCTAAATTAATAAAGGGTTATTAATTTAGACATGGGACCACACGTGGTATTTCAAGTTTATAAAATATTACTATTTTCCAAAACGATACTATTATGATAGTAGGAATGGGTCGTGGACCCCATTGTTATAAAGAGCGACAACTGGACGGCCGAACGGGCCAGGGCCACTATTCGATAGTGGGGAGTCCTTAATTATCGGACTATCAATAATTCGTAGGACTATGAATTTATAACAGAAGAAATATAAATATTCTAAGAAACCAAAATAATGGGATGAATAATATTGATTAACTTGGTATATTAAAGGAGGGTACTTTTGGAGGACCCTGCCTTAAAGATATTTTATTTTGGGAACAAACAGATAAGATTTTATCTGTTTTTACATTTGGGATCATTTAAAAAGATGTGTAACATTTTATTAAAATGTCACAAAATATCAATACACATATTGAGTCATGAGAAATTGCTAATGAATTTACGAGATGACGTGTTCTCATTTTTACTGATACTTTAACAGTAAATTGCACGTTGGGCCTACACTAGGAGCGGGGACCATCCGATATTTACGGACCACATATTATATTCATCTTGGTCTAGATAATATTTATATGATGGTGTAAATTAATGTTGAGCCATAAAGTTGGCTTTTCGATCAAGCGAGGTCCCATTGCCGGTATAGGTAATTAAACAGATAACAACCCGAAATTTATTTCGGCGACCACGAAATTAAAGTGGGGTAATATATATTCATTCTAGAGGCCAATATTAATTGGAAGAATGATATATATTTTATTTGACCCGATAAAATGAAATTTAATTAAAACAGTCCGAAAAGTACAACTTTTGGTACCGATTGTACACTTTTGGACATAAAGGGATGACCTCCCACATGAGTGGGGGCCACCCCACGACTTATGGTCTCAAATGAGTGAGGAGAGCCATGTTGAAGTGCTGGAGAGTGATGGGGGGATGCATGAGAATTAATTAGAAAGGAAAGGGGACCCTCTCCACCTCATTTGGTGTTAAAGGCCAAAAACTATCTCCTCACACCCCACACCCCCATTATTTCGGCCAAACCTACCCAAGAGAGAGGGAAGAGCTCTGCAAATGCTTACCTCCATGGCTACAACCGAGCTCAAGGTTGAAGAAGGTACAAGGAAGAAGAAAGAGTGAGAAAAGAAGAGAAAAACCTTGATTAATTAAGGTAATGATCTCATTAACATTTTTCATCATCCATTTAATCTCATATGATTTTATAAATCATATGATGAACATTTCAAGGTGAGTGGACGACTACGTGTCTTGTAACTCTTGGTTCAAACGTGAGATTACCTAAATAAAATCATAACCATGATTTGAGGAATGATTAAATGTATTAAAATGCATGATTAGTCATGGTGAACATGATTAATGAAAAATAGATTAATTTATTAATTAATCATGAGTATACTTTTCTTAAATGAATAAGAAGGTATACTTGGACTATGTATGAGACTAACTAGAGTAATCTAGTGAATGAATACATGAAAATATATGTGAACTTGTGATTATCCATATTAAATATGGATTATGGAAGTATTATATGATTAATGAAAATTAGATTGATTAATTAATTAATCATGAGTATATATTTCTTAAATGTATAAGAGGATATACTTGGACTATGCATGTGACTAACTAGAGTAATCTAGTAAATGTAATATATAAAAAGATATGTGACATTGTGATTAGCCATATTAATTATGGTTTATGGAAATATGACATAATTAATGATTAATTAATTAATGGTATGAATAAAAGGTTTTAAGGGAGGATCATGAGTCATGCTAAGGGATTAGGCATGAGATCACTCAAAAGAGGCAGAATGATATTACATTGAATGATCAAATGCATCTAAGAATGTATTGTGACAAGATTACTTATTAATAGTATTAATAAGTATACTTAATATGCTTTAATTTGGATAGAAAATGATTATAAATTATGTGTGATGATTTGGACGTCTAAAATGATATATTTGGACTAAGAATGACTTGTTGCATAAGCGTATAAAATTTCGTGGAAATCGGACCCCGTTTGGATGGTCAAACGGGCGTTGACCAAAATGTTGACCGGTTGCCCAAGGGATAACCGGCGCCGGTTATAGGCAAAACCGGAGCCGGTTATGGTTCGGTTTACTACAAAAAAATCAGTAAACCGGCGCCGGTTATGGGTAAAACCGGCGCCAGTTATGTCTCGGCTTTCAGGACTGATTTTTGCTAAAAACCCAAATCGGACCCGGTTTGACGTGGGATAAATTCTAGCCATCCTATATATGAATATTTTGCATGGAATTGCATGAAATATGATGTTTAAAATGATAAGCTTTGGAATACGGTTTAAACGCTAAGACTTGGACTAGTCGTTAGTAAAGAAATTATAGACCACGACTGGGCGAGGTACGTGGTAGATTATACAT